GTCACTCCCCCAGCAACTCTTTCCCCCAGTTCATCTCTGGAATAGGATGCTGGAAGCAGCAGTGGGACTGTAGCGGGTGCAGCCTTGAGCTCGATACGCTACTTAAAAGGAACAAACCCAGCGCACTGATTATCACACAGCTCATGCACACGCTGTGCCCGGGCCTCCTTTGTTCCACGCTCCTGTTTTTCCCCAGCTGTCCGACCTTTTTTGGCTCCCGGTCTGTTTTTGATCCTCAGTAATCCCAATTATCTTTCTGTGCGCGCATGTGTGCAGAATTGCCGTCTAGCCAGGGAAAGCCATCATGCATGGAATCCCCGGCGTGGCAGCTCATGTCAAAGCCTCCCGTCACCCCGTGCCAGCCCTCGGGCACAAGCAGGAGCCAGGCACAGGTGCCTGAGGTGACCCAGCTGCAGAGCCACGCGTGAAGTGTGTGCAGGAGGGGGAGCACACACGGGAGGGGGAGCACAGAGGGAGCTGCTGGCCTCTCCTCTTCTTTTTGGGAGCAGTGGCTGCATTCGGACCTTGATTTTTGCAGGTATCTTGTATTTGGAAGCAGCTTCCTCCTCAACAGCTGGAACTGGTTTGCAAGCAGCTGGGGGGGGGGGGCACACAACAAAAATGCTCAAATCCACCTTGAAAACAAGGGGAAGCAGCAAACAAGAAAAAAACAAATTAAGCTACAGCCTGGACTGTGATATGCCTGGTAAACACTTAATGCACTAACTTGTGTGTGGGAGCTCATATCCTTGATCCAATACATGCTAGGGCAGCCCAGCCTGCACACCCTGTGGGTCACAAAGGCTAGGCTAGGGCTCAGTCAGTAATTTACATTATAAAGTAAAGCTTTAACCGAGCAAATGGACAAATCAATAGTGAAACACACAATCCTGATGGTTTGCTCGGTACAGGATTTAACAGCTCTGCTTTTCCACAATTTTTTTATTTTTATTTTTTTTTAATGTGAAAACACAACTTCCAGCAGGAACTGGAAGTCTTCAGAGCCTGGCAGAGGCCATTAGGGATTTCACCTGATGCTTGAGAAAGGCTTGAATGTTGTTAGGACCAGAGAAACAAGCTAAAAGAGGGATTATTCTAAATCACCTGGCAGCAAAATAACAAACACCGAAGAGCTGCTGAGGTCACTCTTAACATCCCAGCAGGATTATAAAGAGGCCATCCAGCACTGTCCCAACCACCATGCCAGCCTGTCTACAGGCTGTAGAAGGCAGCCCAAGCAACAGCACATGCTCCACGATTCAGCAGATCTCACCAACACATCAACTGTATGTTTCCTTAACAGCAGCCATTCCAGCTCCAGAGCAAGTTCCAGGGGCGGGGGCAAGTACAAATCACCTGCTGCCCATGGTCACTCTGCAAGGCACCATGTCCCAGAGAGAAGGAAAAGCTGTTGCACAACCCAGACCAAGGGTCTCACACACTGTCGTCCAGCTTCAAGCCACAGTCCCCTTGACATGGTGCACCACCCCAAACAGAACTTCCCTCTCCTTCCTACCTACAAGCCCCTCCAGCCCAACCACCACAGAATGCCTCTAGACCATGTAACTCCCAAACCAGCACAAGAAACACGTGCTCTGCACATGGCACCACTTGGACACTTTGGATGCCTCAGACTTTTGGCCTTGCCCCCAAGTTGTGTTTCTGCAGCTCTGAAACACCTGACATCCTAAGGAAGACAGGCAAGGTCATGAATTAAACCCCATGAGCATTCTGGAGTGGCCTTTAAGGCAGAGCAAGAAATCACCACCACTATTTTGGCGGTGAGGAAACCACACAGACTGCACTTTCATTATGTTACTGGGGTTATTCAGAATTAGTGCCAGAGAGCACAGAGCCTCAGCCTGGGACAGGACTGGAGTCCAAGCACACAAGGCAACAATAATAGCACATGGGATAACAGTATCCACTTCCTTGCTATTAACCTTCTTTGGAGGAGAGGTGCAAAAAGGACCCTGTTCCTCACCACAAGCACGTGTCACGCAGCCCCCTCTGGAAGAACATGCTCCAGCAGAAATTGTGTAGCTGCTCTCAGTGCGGAGATCAGACCACTCATCCCTACACACTCAGAAGAATTTGCCTGTTTGTGTGCACATGCTCCAAGAAATTATGAGATACATCAGGCTGGTGCTCTTAGCTTTACTGGCTTGGTGGCAACCAGCATTGCTCTGATGTTCTTCCATGAAGCCTCAAGGCACTAGTTTACTTTTCCTCCTCCTGTTCCTGGCATGAGGAATCCACATACTTGCCCATTGCTGGGCTGCCAATTTTCTGGTGTGGGTTTTGACCACACAAGCCTCTTCTCCCTTTGTCATTTCCTCGTCAGAACACATGTGGCAAGGGAAAGGGCCTGACAGTCAGAGGCAAGAACAGCCACCATTTCCTACAGACACCAGAGGACAGAGGCCACCACAGTGTCCAGGCTCACTCTCCTCCTCAGAGGATTTGCTCCCAGTTTTGCCACCAGCATTCCTCAACCATGCAACCCTTTTTTATTTTTCCCCTGCTGAAGGCATCCATGCCAAAAAACACACTGAGGTCCCAAGAAGAAAGGCAGTTAAACGCTGATGACTGCAACAGCCCTTAAGTAAAGGGCAGCCTCTGCCACTCCCACCCCAGAGAGGGCCACACACGTACAGCAAGGGCATTAGGGCATTTCATACTCCTCTGAGCTATCGCAGTGAAGATCGGCACATTCAGCAGACA